CCCAAAACCCCAAAACCCCAAAACCCCAAAACCCCAAAACCCCAAAACCCCAGCAATGCATAATGACTGAAATGTTAGGTGAGATCTGTGAAATTCTAATGTTTAAATAATAAAGAGGTTTAATGAATCAAGCGAAAGAGAATTGTCTCTAGTTTGATCTCTAAATCTCTTTAGTTCAAGCTCTTTTGTGGCCTCTTAATTCAGCATCCTCCTCTCTGATTCTTCTAATCTCATCCTCAATTTGATTTGCTGTAAGTCTTTGATGATAGAGAACCTCTCCTGTCTTTCTGTTGTCAAAGTAGAAATGAGCATGTAATAAATGAGCGAAGCATGTAAACCCAACGAATAAAAGAAGGTATGGGTAAACTAATTAACCTTGCTCCTCAAAAGGCTAAATAATTAAATTATTATTCATTATCTTACATCATCTCCAAGTTCATAACCATATGGCTCATCATGAATATTACCTTCTTCCTCCCATGAGTGACCACCTGGATAGCCACTGAAGAAATATTGATGGCTAAAATAATTAATTATCTTTTAACTAAGTCTTACTTAGATAACTTCAAGTCATTGTGATGTCTGAATGGGTTTTCAAGGACAATAACTCCTGGCTCAGTTGGTTGTAAACCATTAAATACTATGAATTTCTTGTTTGAGTTAGAATCATCTAAAAATTTATGATCTAAGGCAGGCTTTTCAACATGCTCGTGATGTCCATGTCCATGATCATCGTGATGATCTCCATGATCGTCGTGATGATCATCATGGTGGTGACCATGGCCTCCAGAAGCAAAGCTTCTCTGGGTGAGAGTCATATATTAAGAAGATTAGAGTTGCTTTTAAAGCCAGAACATTCTTGAGCTGCTCTTAATGATTTAGCTTCCTTTGAACATAGTTTTTCCTTTTAATTAATTATTATTGAAATTTAATTTTATAAAAGTTTAATAATTAATTAGCTATGGAAAATAATATACCAAATCAACAATAGCAAGCAAGGCCAGCAGTGGGACCTAAACTTAATTTTGGGGATTTCAGCAATCCAATTGAAGGTTAAAAAGAGCAGAATATAAACTAAAGCAAATAAGTTCAGCCTAATTAATACCAGCCAACTTAAGGAAGCTAATAATAGAGCTAGCAAATGAAAACTAGGTATATCTAAAAGTCAAACAATAAATTCTAAGGCCAACTGTATATTCCAGGTAAGACACCGGGATAGCCATACAAAGAAAATTAGCATAGATTTTGCTATTCAATCACTAAGAGAATGGGCAAAAGAGCTAATCAGCATGGAGATGTAATAACGCATATCTATTCTAAGATTTATTTTATAGAAATTTGACTTCTTTTTGTATTAAGCTGATAGAAAGATTAATTTCTACAAGCCATCGTATCTAAATGAAGATAATCCATATAATCCATTAAAGCTAGAGACGGAGATCAAGATACATGAAGTTGACGAGGAAAAGTTCTAGCAAATAAAAGATCAAATGAAGTCAAATTTTGGAATGACAATCGATGATTTGCTTGCAGTTGAGGTATTCATAATATTAAATTCAATATTTTAGGGCTGTATGGAAGATGATAAGACTTTACTTGGAGGCAGAAATTAGTTTTTAAGTCACTTTTGCACTCTTTTTAACTTCAATATCTGCTACTCCGCACTGGAATCAAAAGCCATCAAGAAATAAGCTGACATATTTAATGACAGTGAGCAGCTTGATAAGAAAATCGATGATTGGTTCAAAAAATTCGATGATATCAAATGACTTAAGAAATGTAAATCAGAGCCACAATTTCAATTAATTAATGTTTGTATTCTAAAATTATATTTGGCTGTAATCTCATTGTTGTTTCTCGCTCGGGGTTTTGGGGTTTTGGGGTTTTGGGG